AAAAAAAAAAAAAAAAAAAAAAAAAAAAAAAAAAAAAAAAAAAAAAAGTTTATGCCTCAACGAATCACTCGTAGAAATATTGATAATACAGAGTTAATGGTATTTCATAACTAATTGATTGAGCAGCAGCTCGTAGACCACCTAAAAAAGAATATTTATTATTGAATCCATATCTTGACATAAGAAGGCCTGAGAGTAACACTTGAAATGACAATCTATAAAAAGAACACTGATCTGTAGATCTGCTAAAACAAGATGATAACCAAAAGGAATTACTGAATATAGCTTAATAAAATTGATGACTGCTATGGATGGTCTGATACTGAATAAACACGTATCACCTCTAGATGGAAGCATATTTTCTTTAAAAAGTAGTTTTGTGTCATCTGCTAAAGCTTGAAGAACTACCAAAGTATATATATACATATTTTATTCTCAAACATCATAAACAAAACCTCCAACCAAATGGCCCCTAGAAATATTTCAAATAATTTTTCCGAACATCATAATCTTAAGAGAGAAAAAAAACTTAAAACAAATAAGGGTAAAACCCATGCGCATTCCCACCCTCTTTCTCCATAAACAAATAAGGGTAAGACCAATGAAAAGACGAGAAAGAACATAGGAAACTAAAGTGAAGAAGAAAGACAAGAAATTAAGGAGATAATATCCCAAGGATGGAGAAGACAAGGTGAGTGTGTACAAGATATTATATGTATAAGTACCACTAAATTCAAGAAATCTTCAATATGAAAGTTGATGGAATTCCTATAAGTAGTGTAGAAAAACGGAACGAAACGAAACGTCCAATACGAACAGATCAAACTTCAAAATTACCTTCATAATATGACACTAAAACATACAAGTTTATGGCAGTAAAGAGTGTTCTTATCATCATATACAAATTCGCTACTAATTTGGTTCAAATATAATCAATGGACACAAACAATCAGGTAAGCCCTATCACCAACCTATAAAATCTACACCAATTTTGGTAGGCAGCCAACACTGAGTGATCACAATATAAAGATATGAACTTTTTGATACACTAGTAGTTAGAGTAGAATTTACAAGCAAATGCTGAAGTTAGTATGCACCAGAAACAGTAGGCTGATTGATAACACAAGCTGTTTACTCAATCAAATGTCATAGACATCAAAGCATCGTCGTCCAGAAGCGAGTCGATATCAATCATGTCATCGCCTTCTATTATCTCTTCTCTAGTGCTAGTAATAG